TCATCGTCGTGGTGGTGTTTTTTTTTCGGTAGCGGCTGTTGTAGTAGTAGTAGTAGTAGTAGTAGTAGTAGTAGTAGTAGTAGTAGTAGTAGTAGTAGTAGTAGTAGTAGTAGTAGTAGTAGTAGTAGTATTAGCAGTATTAGCAGTATTAGCAGTAGCAGTAGTAGTAGTAGTAGTAGTAGTAGTAGTAGTAGTAGTAGTAGTAGTAGTATTAGCAGTAGTAGCAGTAGCAGTAGTAGTATTAGTAGTAGTAGTAGCAGCAGTAGCAGCAGTAGCAGTAGCGGTAGCAGTAGCCGTAGCAGTAGCAGTAGCAGTAGGAGTAGGAGTAGGAGTAGGAGTAGGAGTAGTAGTAGTAGTAGTAGTAGTAGTAGTAGTAGTAGAAGCAGCAATATCAGCAGCAGCAGCAGCAGCAAGATTTCTCAATGGGCTTGTCTGAGCTCCGGGCCCAATGTCTTGTCAGGCTTTCTTCGGCGAGTCCTTGGATCACAGCACCCGTTGCGAATTCTCAGCTGCAGAGGAATCCGGCCCTGAGGCTACTGCCGGTACGGCTGCTCCCCACGTGAGCGAGGAGCTCGCATTCTTCCGAGCTCAGAAACTCCTCTCCGAGCACAGCTGTTCCAGGCGTCCAAGAGGCAACAACACGACCGAAGCTCATGAGCAAAACCTGTCCACAAATGGATTTCTACTTGAATTCCTATGCGAAACCCTCTATCCGAAACGTGCATTGCGAACGAAGCATCCTCGATGACATAGATGTTCGGCGTCTTCTGTGACAAAGTTCGGATGTCACCCCTGTCCCAAATATCCAACAAGCGCAATACCCAGAGAGAGAGAGGGAGAGAGAGGACCATGGTTTTCCGCACAACATCTGGCCAGCAGGCACGGACCCCAGAACCATCTAGAATCTACAGCAAAGCCTGCATGGCAGACGAAGTGCGGTGCATCCAGAACGGAAGCCTACATCGCAGACGAATTGCAACCAAGCAGTCGAAGAAGCGGAATGGCCGTTGCATCATTTCCAGGTGGTCAGCATGGCTTCGCAGCTGTTCGAACACCGGCAGCGATGCGATGCTACTGTCCAGCTGATGCAGGCCCAATTATGCAGAGCAGAGCAAGGGGGCACACGTTAGCGGGAGGCAGGCTCGGTCCAACTTGCGACTGCGTCAAACAAGAGCGCATGAAGCCATGTGCCCTGTTGGCCTGGGGGAACGGAAGTGATTTTCTGCAAGGGGGAGCCCATCGAATCCTGAGCATGAAGCTTGCTAGACTGATGCAGGCATGCCCGTATGTATGCCTGTACGTATGCATGTCTGTGGGTGGGTGTGTGTGTGTGCATATATATATATATATATACATATGCGTATAGAGATCGAGACCCAGAGACAGAAAGGGAACATGTCTGTGTACACAGACTTGTTACTTGTTTAAACAACAGGAAAAGTAAACAAGTACTCGCCTACTAAGGGTTCAGCCCTTGATGTTCACAGACAGCTTATCCAACTTCTCATGTTCATTATTGGTGCTTGCCTGCTGTTCATGGAAAATTGCAGAAGTAAATCATAAAGCAACTCCTGTGTAAGCAATGTCGAAACATCAAGCCAAACACTGTGTTATATTCAACGAATGCTGATCCAAAATTTGCGACAGATTCACTCCGATGGGAGTATGTGGCAACAAAGCTGGAACTTGTTTTCAGTAATGTGGTAGGATGCGTTTACACCGTGGACAACAATAACGGACACAGACTTTAGCGGCATTTGCAGGGTTTTCGGCTTCCGTCCGCAACAACACACGAACAAGCATGAGCAATTTCGTGGTCGAAGTCAGTCCTAGTGGGTTACCATATATACATATATATACATACACATATATATATATATATATATATATATATATATTTATTTATATATATATATACACACGCATATAAACATATGTATTTTGTCACTCGTGCTCGACATATGTATACATATATATATATATATATGTATATATATGTATATATATATATATATATATAACTTATATAAACCTCATATGAATATATACATATATATATATACATACATACATACATACATACATACATACATACATAGAGTGTGTTGGAGAGTAAGCAGACTTTGCCCGTAATCACCACTTTACCCACTGCCCTCACCACGCCCCCAGTGCCCTCACCACCACCCCCACTGCTCTCACCACCCCCACCGCCTTTACCGCCGCCACTGCCCACACCCACCCTCACCACCCCCACCGCCTTTACCGCCGCCACTGCCCACACCACTCTTAGTCTTAATCTTGTAGTACCGCCACCGCTCTTACCACACCCACTGCCGCCACCGCCTCACCAAACCCCCACCACCCCTATACCGCCACCCCCACTGCCGCCACCGCCCTCGCCACCGCCCTCGCCACCGCCACCGCCCCCACCGCTTTCACTACTTCCACCACACTGCTGTATTTGTGGGTGTTCAGAATTTTTACAGGCTGCCGATGTGTGCCTAAATCCCCCCGCGCCCCCACCGCCCCCACCGCCCTCACCACCCCCACCGCCCTCACCACCCCCACCACCCCGACCGCTCTCGCCACCCTCACTGCCGCTACCACCCTCACCCCCACTGCCCGCCCTCACAACCCACCACCGCCACCGCTCTCACCACCCCCACTGCCGCCACGGCCCGCACCACCGCCGCTACCCACTGCCCTCACCACGCCCCCAGTGCCCTCACCACCGCCCTTGCAGTACTCTGGAGTTCGCTGTATTTGTAGGTGGTTAGAGAGGATAACAAACCTGCCAATGTGTGCTCGACCCCACCACCTCCACCGCCCTCACCACCCCCACCGCCTTTACCGCCGCCATTGCCCACACCACTCTTACTGCCTTTGTAGTACTGTGGAGTTCGCTGTATTTGTAGATGTTTAAAGAGTATGTACCACCGCCCTTACCGCCGCCACGGCCCTTCGATGTTTGGGGAGTGTGTTAGAGTGTAAGCAAAAGTTGCCCATAATCACCGCTTTACCCACTGCCCTCACCACGCCCCCAGTGCCCTCACCACCACCACCCCCACTGCTCTCACCACCCCCACCGCCTTTACCGCCGCCAGTGCCCACACCACGCCCTCACCACCTCCACCGCCTTTATCGCCGCCACTGCCCACACCACTCTTACTGCCCTTGTAGTACTGCGGAGTTCGCTGTATTTGTAGATGTTTAGAGAGTATGTACCACCGCCCTTACCGCCGCGACGGCCCTTCGATGTTTGGGGAGTGTGTTAGAGAGTAAGCACAAGTTGCCCGTAATCACCGCTTTACCCACTGCCCTCACCACGCCCCCGGCCCCCAGTGCCCTCACCACCACCACCCCCACTGCTCTCACCACCCCCACCGCCTTTACCGCCGCCACTGCCCACACCACGCCCTCACCACCTCCGCCGCCTTTACCGCCGCCACTGCGCACCCCACTCTTACTCTCCTTGTAGTACCGCCACCGCTCTTACCACCCCCACTGCCACCACCGCCTCACCGCCCTCACCGCCCCCACCACCCCCACCGCCCTCACCATTGCCCTCACGGCTGTATTTGTATGTGTTATTTAAAGGCTGCCAATGTGTGCCCGGACCCCCCTGCGCCCCCGCCCCCACCGCCCTCACCACCCCCACCGCCCTCACCACCCGCACCAACCCCCACCGCTCTCACCACCCTCACTGCCGCTATCACCCTCACCACCGCCACCGGACCCAATTTTCATATCGCCTTTCCAGGCTACACCCGAAAAACCCAGCCCAGACCCGACCACTCAAACCCAGGCCCCATTAGACCCAGCCCAAAACCCGACCACTCAAACCCAGACCCTATTAAACCCTGAGGCCCTGAACCCCTAACCGCCACGGAGGGCGCCTAACCGCCACGGAGGGCGAAACCCTAACCGCCTTTGCAGGCGAAACCCTATTGCCATCCTATAACTACTACGCTGCCCCCCACCCCTTTAAAACGCCGGACTCCCGCTGTCGACCACCAAGAGGACGGCGCCGGGCGGTGTGTACAAAGGACAGGGACGTAATCAGCACGAGCTGATGACTCGCGCTTACTAGAATGCCTCGTTGTAGATCAATAATTGCAATGATCCCTCCCATCACAATGCATTTTGAAAGATTTCCCGGCCATTACAAGCAAGATTGCAAACTCGGGCTTGAAGGTACACTTCTCATGTGCGTGTCATCTTTGTGCAGCAGCCATGCTAATCTTCTCTGTCTCCTTCCAAGGGCTTGCTTGCCTTGTTTTGGTACAGCGATTTGTGCGTGTCATCTTTGCACGGAGCCATGCTTATCTTCTCTGTGTCGTTCCCAGTACTTTGGTACCACACACTTCTCGATTCGTGCGTGTCATCCTTGCGCAGGAGCCATGCGAATCGGAGAATCCTTGGGCATCCTACACCCTAGTATACTACAGACATGTTACAAATAAACCACTATGACATGGAATTTTCTAAACCCCTGACAGCGAGCACTCTGGCAGAGCGACAGTGAAGTCTCCATGGGGGCTGCTCGTCCTCTTGCCTCCTTCTGGGGTCGGCGGCATTGGCGGCAGCCATTAAATCGGGCAGCGCTTCGCTGCCCTGTATGGACTGAGCTATGGCTCAGACGAATGGGCTTCTCTTGCGAAGCAAAAGCCGCGACGGCTTGTGCCGCCGACCCGCCGCCGACCCCGCATCATCGGACCTCCGTTTCTCCATAGGGCCCCGCAGGCCCTGGCCCGGAGGCGTCTCGGAACGCGCGAGCCGGCGAGCATCATGAGCACTCGGGCGCCCGCAACCGGCCCCGCGGCGCGAAGTGGGCGCGAAGTGATGATTTCCAAGTTTTTGCGTGGGTTGCGGAAGCCCCAAAAGGGCGCGCATCATCAGCATCAGCGGGGTCCGGCGGAGGGCGGATGCGGGCTACATTGGAGGGCCGACGAGGGCTAAGAGCGTAAGATCACCCATTAGTTGTGCACTTCGGGCCTACGTCACACTTTTCTTCCGGTGTCGAGCTGTCGTTGTCTCGGCACCGTCTGGAAATTTTGACCGTGTCTTTCCCGTTCCCCCGCTACATCCGCTGACAACAACTCGCGCTGCCCGCACCTGGGCGCAGCCCCTAGAATAATATAGTTATATATTATGAACATACACACATACACACACATGCCCACACAGGCACATGCTGTAGCCACCGGCAAGCCTCTCCTGCTACTTCGATGATGGAGTTGAAGATGGGCCGGAGCATCCAAGCAACTGAGGTGTCTGCGTAGATCCAAAGGGTGCACCAGCCGCTGGTAGGGCTCGTAGCCTGAATCCGAGCTATCTGTGGTTCTGTGTCGGTGTGCGATGTATTTGCCACGGAGACAGCTGGCCAACCCAAACCGCATACCCCCACGAGTCCGATGGGCGGTTCATCGTGCTATGTACAGAGAGTAGTGCCGGCACGGGGAAGACGGCAGTGCACCGCTTCGAAGGTATCGAACCAGGCCGTATGACTTCGAGTGTGGCTGTCACTATCAGTATGCGACCAGTATGTGGCTCACCTCCGCCTTGCTCGTCATTCTCCCAATCCCAAAACAACACCGATATCAGACTATCAGGCAGATGTTGCCGGCAGCCAGGCAGCGGAACCAGCGCTGTGCGATCCATTTCTCACCTTCCAATGCGGGGTTTGCTCGCAGTTCAGATCAAAGCTGTGCTCGATTCCCAGAGACCCGAAGGAAGCCTCGCTTCACGGGACAGGCGGCGTGCTCCGCCATTCGATCCTTTCTCCCGGCCTCGAATTGCCACGCACGACACCGAATACTGCACGTCTTCCGAACAAGGCCATACAGGGTTGCAGTGCACTCGATGCCTCTGAACCTCACCCTGGGAGGATGTTAGAGGATACCTGGGGGCAGAGTGGGTAGCACTCCCATCGGACAACAACATCCTGAGAATTGCGCTGCATCGTGGTTGAAGAACCTCACGGCGTAATAGAAATGACTGGCGACTTCTGAGGAGTGCAGGCAGCGCCCGGCTAGAACTTGCATGAGGTGGAGGCGACGGTGACTCTGAGTGAGGCGGTGCAACAGCAGGGGAGGAATTGGTGCTGGTGAGCTCGACAATTCAACCAGTCCAAAAACACAAAAATCGCAAGCCATGAATTTCTGGGACGAAGACAGCACCGCGCGACCCTTCTTTGGGGAAACACGCAAGAGGTCGCTCCTGTCCTGCAGCAGGCTTGCAGTGTTTCACGGAGCTTTTTAATGAGACTGGTAGAGCTGTTTATTTTCTCTCGCTCAAGATAAATAGCGTGCTAGCTGCTGAAGTTGGGTTCCGGGCGCAGCAGGCACTCGCGCCAAACCTCATACGGAGGCAAATCATGGTCTCAGTATCTTCGAAGGCTAGTCTGCCGGGCAGCACCGAACTACCATCGGCTGCCGCTCTCCACTGCATGGTGCAGTCCTGTCGATTTCCTTGGCGCGGCATGATCTGCCAAAATGATAGCTTGCCGATTTCGGCATCATCCTAACACAGCTGACAACACGGCCTTTTGCATCACAGCATCCAAGAGGAAACAGGGTCTCGCCCCCGTCCTCCACATCGTTGAGATACCTGCTCCCATGCGAGTGCAGCTCCAGGCAAGACAGAGACAGCGACACATCAGCTATTGCTCGCCATGCATGGTTCAATTCTCATGCCAGTTTGTGGAAGAACTAGCGCAGCTGCCCACATGCAGGGCACACTATCAGTGTCGCCGGGCCTGACAACAGAGCATATCTCTACTAAGCAGACAAAGGAAGTGGAGACTCCTGCGGAATGGTGAAGTGAAGACTCGTAACACGACGTGCCACAGCGAGTTCTCAGTCTTGCACGCGCCACGTCGTTCCTGAGTCGGAAGTCGAAGTGGCAAACGCTCACACTCTGCGTCTTCAGTCTTTGCCTTCCTCTTGCCGTCTGAGTGTCCCAGGATCAGAATCCTGATGTGTTTCGTACTTCTCGCCGACACCTCGGAAGAAGGTCCAGTATACTCTCATGTCTGCAGAAAATAAGCCCTTTTCAACGAACCTTTCCCCCGTTCGTTCATCTTTTGATGCCGCATCAAGGGGCACAAGGCCCCAGCCGTAGTGACCTGCGAAGCCAAGCTCCCGATCTACTGACTTACTGCTAGCCAAAGATGGATCTCGCGAAAGCGACTGCAGTGACTTGATTGAGACAAGGTCTGCTGTACCTTCTGCACCGCTCTTGCATGGAGGCCTATTTGAAGAGCTTCAGCGTCATCGTCGGGAATGCGAGAGGCACGATGCATTCGCTTGAGCAGGTGGAAGACGTCCTCACAAACTGCCAACTGCAAGGTGGGGGTTGCCGAAAATGGGGGACCCTGATATAGTGCCCAAAAGAGTAGGGTCCTTATTATAAGGACCCCAAACCCCCAGGTGGCTACTGGCAAGGTCACGAGGTCACGAGGCCCCGGCCGGGTCGTCTCTTTCCTGCGTGTAGTTCAACCAAATCTGCCGGTTGTTCCTCACACTGACCTTGCACACGCGCCTATGCGCAAGCCCTCTGCAGAGTAGTCAGTAGTCTGGACTCCCCACCTGTCCAAACACCAAAACACAAAAAGGCATGTGCCATTCCGACATCCTCTGAACGGAGAGCCTCCTGACACCCTTTTTCACCGAAGTTGTTCGGAACCCTAAACTCCAAACTATCCTAAACCCAGAAGTGCCTGCTCATCGAACTTGTTGTCTGCCTTTTGAACCACCTTGGCAGGTTCCAGGCGGCCGGCGACCTGACGTATTGCTTCAGCAGAGTTGGGGGCTATAGAGATCATAGGAAAAACATCGTCGAGAGTGATGATAGTCATAACATAAATAGTCATATTCATAATCTTTTGCCTCTTGTATGGCTGATGGATGGCGAAGCAAGGTGACTGGTGCACCTATAATAGTAATAGTTATGCTACTAGCAACAACAAGCATCATCATCATAATCATCACCAGATCATCATCATCATCATCATCATCATCATCATCATCATCACACACACATAAACCAACCAATGTGCGGACAATGACGCGTAGAACTGTGTAGAAGTGGGCTTGCAAAAACCAGGCCCCATGACAGTCCCTTCTGTACTCTAAGAGTTGCTATGTCGGTATTCTGAGGAATTCGTCACTGAACCTCGCACTTAGCAGGCAAGGCTTCGGCACAAGTCCGACTAGACAGAAGATATGCAGAGCAGCAAGAGTATTGGGTGCCTTTTGCTTCCTGGGCATTGCCTGACTGGGTCCGCTAGGCAGGGTGGCTTCGAAGACCTGTTGATGGGGCAGAGAACTTCCAAGATAACGCCTCTGTTCGTCATCCTTCTGAATTGGACCTGCGAAAGGTTTAGGTGGCATGCCTGCTCCAGGATTGCTCGGAAAGTGCGAACCCGGCGCAGATTCTTCTCGTGTGTTCTATCGTATCCTCTGGCACCTTACGGTCAATGCGTTGATTCTTGGAATGCAGAAGAGTATGAGTAAAAGAGTCTCGAGCACTCTAGAGTCTAGAGCATTAAAACACAGGGCTCAGAGCTTGATGGATATACTCTCGCCACACCTGCTGCTTCAAGATCTCGCATTCTGGCTCGCTGAGGAAACCATCCTGTACCTGCAGGATGGCAGTTTCCGGTGGCTTCCAGGGGTGCTCTGTTTGGAAACTGGCTGGGCGGCACATAGATCCTTGGAAACTGCGAGACAACCTCGTTCACTTCTGATTTAAAAGCAGCAGCATCCGAAAAGCTCACTCCACAGATCTGCCAAGCTCAACACCCGCCACTCGCCTCCCTCGGGCGCTGCAAGCTGTTGCAGTGCCTTGGAAGGCCTGAGAGAAAGTGACGCAGTGTGAGTTTGCTGCTGCAACCACTTTTTGAAAGATACAGGCTGCGGGCTCTAGCAGCGGCAGGCTCGCTGGCGGCTTCTCATGTACAGGTGGCTGAAAGTGCTGCGTTGGGTGAACCTCGCCTCAGCGACACTCTCTGGTGCACCACTCCACGCAAGACAGCTTTGGCTCCCGCATGGTGAAGCCCAAGTGGCCACCGCTCTCTGGCAAAAGACGGAAGGCTATGACGGCAGCAGCCACCACAGCCAATGCAGCGACTGCACGCAACGGGACAAAGGGTTCTGCGCTTTCTAGTCCATCGAAGCAGAAAAGTTGACGGAAATTCCGTCGCGCCTATGTAGATGGCCCAGCCTGCCTCGCATCAGCTCGAAGCAGCGGATGTTGGGCAGCAACCGAATAATCTTTTTAGTGAAGAACCTAGTTAAGAACAAAGCAAAGCAACGGTGGAAGCAAACAGGGGGGCTGGAACCTGACAGATCAATGATGGTCTGATAACGACCATGATCAGTATGGCGATGGTCACTTGCAGCTACCATGACAAGAGCGACGACGACGATCAGTACGATTCCGACAAACGACGATTGCTCCAGGAGTGCTGCTATATAATCCTGCTATGGTGCCGCCACAGGACACTTTGAACTGAACAGTAGTAGCTCCTCAACCGACACTCAAGGCAAAGCGGCTGTGAAGCGCCAAAGGTAGCTGTCCGCCTGCTTGCTTGGAGTGCCAGGCATAAGCGCCATGCCATGGGACACGGGTGGCAGCACCCATCAGTTGGTATACATGTGTAACATGGGCTAGCTTTTAGAAGTTCAAGCGGTTCTGCCCGCATCCATCCACACCGACGTGCGAACATGCACGATCAACCTTGCCTAAGCGACTACTGTAATGAACACTAAAGTCTCCATGTGTGATGCCCGATCCCCTCTTGCAGTGTTTAGTCTCCTTTTGATTGTCTTCGGGAGGGGTCAGCTCTCTTGCGACCCTCCACGTGGCCTGAAGCTTGAAATAGTTTTGCACTGCGTCAGTTGTGGCATTTCTACAACAGTTCCATCTTCATGCAGGGAGCAGCGGCATCAGGGATTCGGGAAGTCAGCAAGCCCCAACCCCTATGGCCCTAAACCCCCGCACCCTAAGCTCCACACCCGAAGCACTCGCCTTTCCAGCCGGCCCAAGCTCCAGGAAGGCTACGCCCCTCACCCAAAAAGGTCGAAGTCCATCTCCTCCTCCGTCAAAAGAGAAAAGCTCCCGAAAGATCATTCAACAGCAAGAATTCGGATAGGACCAGGAGAAACGGAGATCCGGGCAAATATCTTAATCTAAGTCGTGTGTTAGTCGCACGGAGTCATTCTGGTTTCTGAATGCAGGGCCTCCTCACATTGCTGCAACAGCAGGCGGCAAGAAGTGGATGCTAGCTCGACCCCGGAGCCCTTGGCACGGGTCCTCTTCCTCCTCTTCTTCGACCTTCTTCTTCTCCTCCTGCTCTCGCGGGGGTTTTGGCCAGCCCAAGCGAGGGCTCTAGGCGTCGACTGTCACAGCTTGGCGGACGGGGTGGGAGTTTGTGTTTTGCCTTCCGCCTGGTTAGGACAGAGGGATTGTCGAGGTTGCGTCTCCATGCTACTATCAACGAAGCCAGAAGCCAGGAACGGTGCAGGTTGACGCGCGTGCTCGCTCAGGCTACCCGAGGCGTGAGCCCAAAGCCTACAGGGCCTACAGGGTTTCTCTGTTTTTTGGGCCTTTCCCGGTTCGACTCCAGCAGCACCGGTGGGGAAGGAAGCTTCTAAGGCATTCCAAGGCTGCATTCGGATTTCTGGCCTAAGTTTTACTGTAGATTCGGATGCGGGTGATTCCCTCAGCGAAGTTATGAAGCCGCAAACAAGCTGCTCGATTTACACCTGTTCGACAATCCGCCCCCTGTCAGGACGTGTATGATTGCATATCAGCTTCTATCGGCATTCTTGAAGAAGGTTGAATGGTGTTTCGGAACCACGGGACCACAATCCAAAATCCCCATCAGTGCCTTCACTGCACCTGTGGCTTCTCCCGAGGCCGCAGGAGCCACTGCGGCAGTCCCACCGCCACCTTGGATGATGCGGGAAAGCATGCAGAAGAACGTGGAAAAACAGCACAATGCGAATTGCGGCAGCAGCACAGGAAGACAAACAGTACGTCAGTACGTAGCCGGATACATTTGTATGCAAGAACGAGTAGGAGCATGCGACCGCTAGGTCGGCTGGCCAAGATTTCAACCAAGCCTCCTCCACCCCCACACGCAGCGAACTTGCCAAACCCCGCCGAGATGAGTTCATGAACCTGGAGCAGGACATACATGCTTGCGGGGCCGTAGTGTGCTGACTCTCTTGCAGGGCTTTCCGGGTGCGGTTTTGAGTTTGGGTGTCTTGGCTTGTAGGGTTTCTTGGTCCCCGATGACGTGAGGTGCTGCTCGCCGTGCCTGCTTGCCCTCCATCCGCTTGCAAGCCTCATCAATCAGCTCATCTTCGTAGCCTGGGATGGAGGGCAGATGAATTCATCCCAGAGACTTTTTCCAGGAGCTTTCAACAGCATGCGCCCAACCCGTGCTCTTGCTGCAGGCAGCTGATACCACCCGCTTCCAAGATGGTCTTGATGTCCTGTGCCGGGCTCAAGAAACCGAAGCGCTTTACGACGTGGGACCTGAACCCAAGAGAGTCCTTGGCATCTGGAGCCTCCTTCCCGCCGAGGACCGCCATCAAGTAAGCGCCGAGGTATTTCATCGCCATTTTGGAGCTCAGTTGGTGTCGCTGTGGGGCTGGCGTCTCGGAGAAGCGAGGGGCGGCTGGAGCCCTTGAGAGGCCAAGGCGGGTCGGATGCATGATGTCTGGTAGCCCACCAGGCGCAGAACGCTACGACATTTGCACTGAATCTCTGTATCAAGCCTTTTCCATGGGAAACCGAGACGGTGACCGCTGAACCCTCTTTTCAGGGATCATGCTTTGCCCACCTCCGCCGCCCTGAGGCACGCCTGGAGAGCTTTCTCCACACCACCTGCCTCGGCCAGTTCCTTCGCTACCAGCTGGGCCGCCCTTGTAAAATTTGGCCGTTCTGACCCCAGCATTCGATGCAGGTTTCGCGCAATCGCTGCTTCGTAGCCTGCGAGGGCCTTGCCAAAACACACGCGTTCGGAAAAAATCCAACAAACTTGCACGACAAGACTTGCACAAGGAAGCTCAACACCGGTGCCGCAAGCGCGCCTCGCCAGAAGCTCCTCCCTCTTGCGTCGACGGCCGATCGACTTTGAGACCCAGCCCTATGCGCTCTGCCTGCTCCGGAGTCTGCACGGCCACTGCAACCAAGCAGACAGAAGAATGAGAGAACGCATAATAACATCAGTAACTCACAGCAAGAGAAAAAAGAAGTAAAGAGCGCTTCTAACAAAGGCCGATAACCATGCGGTGGGCCTTTGCGGCAGTGGCAAGCTGGTCGCCAAACCCGGGGCAGCAGAGCACGGGAGTCCCGACCTTGTCTGATTGGTGTTTCGGGCGTCGGCTTCCATATTGGAGGGGGGGTGGGTTCTCAAAGTTGTGGTACCTTAACTTGGGGTACACACCAACAACGATCCTACAATTTAGGCTCGACTTTGGGGTCTCTTGCTTTCGGAAGCTCGAACTTCCTCCTTCCCCTCTCCCCGAAAATCCTGCGAAGCCTCCGAGCTCTTGCCAAGAAGCCGACAAGGACTCCATGAAGGAGTTCTGACCTTGAGATGCAGCAGTGTCGAAGGAAGGTGAACATGATGGACCCGATCTTGGTTTTGCACAGGAAAACTCAACCCCAAACCCTGAACGCTTCATCGTACCCTGAAAAGCAAGCCGAAAACCCCATCTGGGGGCTCCGCCAGCATGCGTGACGAAGAGGGCTGGCTTCGCTCTGCGTAGGACTTCGACCTGAAGGAGCCATGCAGACAGCTGAGATCTGCTGAAGTCTTCTGCAAGGCCAAACATGAAGTCTGAGGCCCAGCTGAGAGGCAGAATGCATAACATCTCAAACTCCTAGTCCTAGTCCTAACGACATTTTCGATGCCATGCCCGTGGCAACTTCAGGCCCGCGCCTGTGGCAAACTGGGAGCACAAAGCGCGTTCGTCGGGACTTCGATGCCTTCCAAGGCGTCGGGCTGCGGACCTCTGCAAGCAACATCATCGACATGCTGACATCAGCCCTATTTTTTGCCTCCCGCCTGGCTAGGAACGACCTACCATGCAGCCCTTTTTTGAGCTTAGGGTTTCGGGCCTTATAGCAATGAAGTGACTTTGCGATAAGCGCAGAATTCAAAGTTTGGGCATCACAGTCTCTGACGATAGAACGGCTCTCCCTCTCCCTCTCTCTCTCTCTCTCTCTCTCTCTCTCTCTCTCCCTCCTCCAGGGCACTCAGTCGCTGTCAGGCCCCGCCAGCTTCCTTCCCACAGGACTACCACTCTGCACCGATAGAACGGCTAAAATCTAAAACCACAAATCAAACCGAGAAACGGCGGAGTCTGCAGAGTCAAACCTAAATCCCTGAAGCCCTGAATTCCCTTGCGGGCTGGGCCTGTGGAAACAATGATCAAGGGAGCTGGGTTCATCAGCTGGGTCGAAGCCAGCTCGGTGAAAAGGCAGCGGAAAACGGCATGGCACATCTCCTTCCTGACATGTCTGGGGCTCAGGGTTGAGAGTCAAACCTCTGCGCTCTCGCGAGTAACTCGCACCCTGTTAGGCTTTGAGCTTGTGTCCTTTTGGCTCCCGAATCGCCACGGTTCAGGGCTTTGGGTTTACGATTTGATCTTCCCCAATAAACGGTTTACGCTCTAGCGACGCACCCCTGCTCATCAAGCTGCCCTGTGATGGCGCTGCCGGCAGTGCCAGCCCAGCCAAAGTCAGCATGGCTGCTTGTGAGGACTGTGCCCATGGACACGTACAGCACCTCTCAGCTGCGCGGGTGTAGGGCGGGGTTCAGACGGCTCGGAGAGCCACAACACACATACAGCCTAAGTCCGAAGTTCGCACGGCTGCCCCCCAGTCCTTGAAAGGCGGACTTCCTCCCTACCAAACAAACTTTATGATCATGCACGCTATGGCTATTCCCGTACCCTACAAGGAACCCTATTGTACCCTTCAAGGAGCCCTAAAGTACCCTGCTTGAACCTAAAGTACCCTTAAAGGTGCCTTAAAGGTACCCTAGAGTTAAAGGAACCCTAAAGTACCATTAGAGGCCTCCTGCCTCCTGTCCTTTCAGGGTGGCCGCTTCGATCTTTCCCAGAAGCTCCGTCGACCTGATTGAGGGTTCTTGGGCCTTTGGGTTTTGGGCTTAGGATTCTTTTTCTTCAGGGTTTTGAGTTTGGGGTGCTTTCTTTTTTTTTGCGTGCCCTTTTCCTCCCTGCTACAGTCGGAATACCTGCCAGGCAGAGCCTTCCTGAGGACTGCAGGCCGAAAGAAGCCTCCACTTTAAGTCCACACCATTAGACAAAAATTGGCCCGCAGCCCTCCAAAACTGCCCAATGTGAGGGTTTCGGGTTTCGACTTTGTGTTCGGTCCTTCGGGCTTAGGGTTTCGGGACGGTGCCGCGTCTAGGATGGGAGTCAGGCTTGGGCTTCAGTCTTCAGCTTCTTTGCCTCCTACGCCGCCTCTTGAAAGCCTTACCGACTCATTCTTGAGTTATAGTAGAAGCCAGAAAGTTGGAACGTCTTTCGCTCATGCTTTCGAGTCTCATTTCTTGGCGAACCGACTGAAGCTTCTTTTGATTGCAGGTCCGTGCTCGGAAAATGCCACACCAGCGCGAAGTCACGTGCTAGAACGTGGGGCTCTCCGACTCTAGGGTGCTGGAGCGTCAACACAAGGGCTTCGAGTTCACGGGCCTCAAGGCAAGTCCCCCTTGAAAGCCCCGACCTCTGCATGATTTTTTCCCAAGGGGCTCAGGATAAGCAGGCGGAGCAAGAATCGGGCCAACAAACTCGAACTTCTTCCCGACCGACTCATAGAAGGAGGCGTCCTTCCTCGGTGGGAAAGGCCCGATCTCGGAACCTCCCAGGCTCCCGGCCTAAGGGATGTTCTGGGTTGAGAAATTCAACGTTGTGAAACACGGTGATGACTACGAACCAGGAAAAGCTCCAGCGCTTCGACGAGAAAATCTCCAATGCTTTGGCATCCTCGGCACTCATTCAGCTTGTCTGCCAGGAAAGGGACCGTGGTCACCAAATTCACCGTGGTGTAGTAGTCATGCACCAGCGGTTCAGTTGTATTCAAAGACAGCTCTGGCCGGTTGAGCATGGAACGCACCCCTTCGATGGCTGCCGAGTTGGCGCTGTTGAGCTTGACGGCAGCGACCTGTCAGAAGCGATCTTCCTCTTGGAATGCCCCAGCCCTGTGCAAAAACCCAAAGGGCTTACCGCTCCAGGCGAGGCGTAGGGTTTGGGGCTCCAGGCCCCACAGGCTAAGGGTTTGGAGGGCTTCGTGTTTCGGTTTTCGGGACCTAGAACTCCAGGGTTTCAGGGGGCTTAGTTCATCAGATGGCACTGACTGAGGTCGCAACGAGGCTTTCCGCTGAGCCGCCGTGCACTGCGAAGGCTGCGTCCCAGTACCCTGGCCAAGGCTGCGCTGCATAAACGAAAGAATAAAATAACAGAAGTTAATAATAACAATAATGGCAATGGTAGTAAAAGGAACAGTAATGGTGGTAGTGATTGTGATTGTGATGGTGATGATAATAGTCACAGTGTGACTAGTCGCATCGCATAGGTATCCTATCCTCCCTAGCTCCGCACATTTGCAACGCAATGGCTGCTTGTCTGTTGTGAGTCAAGGTGTAGCCAACATGTACGAGACATAATCAACCTGCGCACACATGCGCATTCTCATGCGCCAATGCTTCTATCACCTATCACTCGTCCTGGCCTGGTCCGGCTGCCGTGAGCAGCGAGACATCCGGAATGTTCAGGTGCCTCAGGCTCGAATCCGCTTCAGAAGCACCTACGCCAAAACCTTGGTTGCAGGACAAAGCAAAACTCACAGCAAAAGGTGACGTTGACTCCAGCTTGCTTTTCGGTGCTCCGTGTGCCCCCCCTCTCGTCTGGGTTGTGACTGCTTCCAGATGGTGCGGCCAAAGGGCTCAGCAGCAAGGTGGGCAACCTGCGATAACACCTCGGCAAGAATTGGCTGCCTCCTGTGGAATCCTACGCGCTTGTTCAGCCCGGGTACTCGAACATCCACGATCTCGATCTCTCTGACACAGTACAATAAAAGTAGCTGCGGTGCCACGTCTTCGATGCAAGAGGCGCTTCTGCTCAGTATGGAGCCCAGTGCCCCTACAAACTCCACAGTGCGGATCAGTCACGGGGCAGTAGACCACCAGTTGCGGAGCCAAGCGCTGCAGAAACGAAATGTACATCGGTAGCAGCCTTGCAGGGAACGGTTACAAGAGAACAGCACTTCCACAGCCTCCGCACACAGGTGAATGCATAAACCCTAATTAGAGCCAAACCCTACTGGATGCTTCATTTGCATGCCACGGAGCTTCTGAAGGGCAATGCTGCCGAAATTCAGGGCCCATGCCCGAGCATCGGGGCCGTAGTCTGCCAGAGTACCAATGATCATGCCCCTGACATCTTCCTGAATTCACAGGGCAATGCGACACATGTTCAAACGCTGTAGAAGCATGACACAACTGTAACGACAACTCCTCATCATGGCAGTTTTGGGCCAGCTTCTATCCCAAACTCCTTCCCCAACTCGTTCAAGTCGGAGAATCTTCCCCCGGCGCCAGTGATCGCATCTCGGAATTCTGCGACTCCCAAGTAGACGACCTCCCATCCCAAGTCCACCAAGCGCCTCGTCGGGCAGGCCGGAAAGAACACACAACACGAGTGCTAGACGCAAGCTGGTGCATACTGAAACCCTGCATCCGGGATTTTGGAGAGGCAGTGGGGGGCCAGCGATGTAACGTCTCTGCCGCTGATGAAAAGTCTTCTATGCTTCTTGTCGAGGATGTCGGGCGATCAAGAGGCGCCCTCAGAACATGCAATCAAGCGTCCGGCAGAGCGGGAGGGAGGGATTGATGTGGCCTGGCCAGCTCATGGAGATAGGAACGTCACAGGCACCGAGCGTCCCGAAACCCAACGCAGCCTGAATATCTCGAACACGAGGGACGTAAAAGGGAGCCAGCATGAGCCAACTGAAGAATCCCGTAAACTGCGAGACACGTCCCGCCCAATTCAAACGACCTAAAACAAGCCCACCAAGCCTGAAGCCGAAGGGAAGGCAAAGAGAGCTGTGCCCGCTGCCATGATATGGCTATATGTACGGGCGGGTCAGAGTTTAGGAGGTGGGTCATATGGCAGTGTATGGTAGTTAAGGCTTCGGGTTGCCAGCATCGGTTGCCTGACTGCACCTCTCTCTTATGAGCTGTTGATTCAAGACTGTTGGAGGCAAGTTGGAGGTCAGGTAGCTGGTGAGCTGGCATTGCAACGACTGCTTCCCAGACCGATCACATCAGACATGTGAACTGCGAAAAGCATAACCTGACGATGTACTCATCATTGCACCGGTCTTTAGGTCATGCTGTGTCTGCAGCGATTGCTCTTCAAGGATCCTCAAGGACTGGAGCCCGACAAGTTGAGGTCTCAAGACATTGTGACCTGGCTGGTCACATTTGCCTGTGGCAAGGCTTGTACAATCAAAGGCCACATGGCACCATTTCCACCTCTCCTGCACTTCATGAACTCGTCTTCCTCAGCAGCAGCATCACCACTTTCCTGCTGTAGGCCGAATTGCGGGTGTGCCATCGCAAGTTCCTTGCGTTGACTCGACCCCACTCTAACCCTGACAAGCTTTGGGCCTGCCGGGGCCAATGCATGCAGACACCGCGACCTTTTAAAGGTCGCATCTGCCCTTACTTTCATTAACAGACACCCTAGGCACCTCATTTTTCAATAAGACACACTGATTGAACCTGTGTCTTTATTTGGGCGGTACGTCCCGCAGTGTGGTCACGAAGGCACTGCCAATCTTCCACATTAACTAGGCAGCATGGCATGATCGACATCATACCACTCTGTACACTGCCGAAGTACACCACATGCCATAAAAAGCTACAAAGGCCACCGGCTATCGCACGCTCTGCGCAATAGCTTGCTAACACCTGGCAACCTTCAGTCAGTCGGCTTGAAGGACGACTCCGAATGCCGCAGGATAATCAGCTCAGTGTCTGTGTAGTCCTCCATGCAGTCTGTTATCAGAGCAAACGAGGCATACTGAACACTGACTGCCCTCTCTTTTGGTCTCCAAAACGTAAGGGTCAACTCACCGGTGGTGGGTGCAACATAAGGCCGGGACCGACCACTCCATGATCTCGTGCTTCCTCAGCTGCTACTTAAGGAGGCTTCACGTCTCTGGCGTTGTGGCTTCAGCGACCAAAAACACATCACAAAAAAATCTTAATGGCCATGAGTGGCAGCTAGAACAAAGGCTATGGAATACTGTACAGGTTTCTCGTCAGAGTTTCTACACGGCATCGGGACAGGATGGGGCCGCAAATTGCTGCAACATCTAACATTGGTTTCGGGGTATGTATAATAAAGTATAGTAGACTCACGGGCAAGCAATGTACAGGATCATGAAGGGACAGAGCCAAAGATCATGAAGGGACAATACTCACACAGCACAGGGCCCCCTGGGCTGTCTAGCAGTTCTCCTCGACTTGCATGCACCTTCCTGATCCTTCTTTTCAAAGGCTTCGCGTGTGTACTGCCCGCAGCATATCTCTGGTCTTCGACTGAGATTCCGCTCTGGGTTCAGCTGCGGATATCTCTCAGAGAAATCGCGCCATCCAAGCAAGATCCTGTCGCAGTCCACACACAGCATTCCAACAGTTGGCCAGGGGATAAGGCAGGCAGGCCACCCTCCGCAAGTAGCAAGAACGCGCAGCTGCAAATCGTAGAACGAGAGGTCTTCGATCCTGAGCCATGATTGTGTTGCGCCACTGGCATCGGAGGAGGCTCTCCCTTGCTAATTGTAGGCAAGCCGCGAAGTCACGTAGTGGGACGTAGGCGCAACCTAATTGTACAATGACAGGCGGCAGGGTAATGATTGCAAAAACCTGCGGCCGATGTGACTTCCCATATCAATGATATTGCATGACTGCTCTGGGCCAGCAGCAGTGATGTACGCGCTGTTTGAGTCTGCATCGCTCAGCTGCAACAACAGCTCGTACACATCGCCTCGGCATTTAAGCTCAACCGTGACATGCCACGGCTAAAGGACACTTAAGGTGACGCCGCATGGGCAATCTTCCGCATATGAGTCGGCGGTGTTTGGGCTTGTTGTTACCAACCCGACATGTCCCAAGCGTCCCAAGGAACTAGTTCCAGAGTACCACTATAGATCAACAATGGCAAGACTATCTCATACTGCATGCTTTCTAATTCCAGCGTCAATCCTAACGGCCTTGAACCCTAAGTGGTGCAACTTACCGGAAGACGCAAGTCAAGCAGGAAGCTTCGCTCCGATGCCACAGCGTAGATAGCTGTTTCCCGGGCGGATGTGTACACATAGGAGCCTTGACTCCTGTCAGGAAGCTGGTCTTGCAAACGGCATCTAGAGGTAGGTATACCTACATACACATATACATAAACTCATAAACATATACATATGCATGTACATGTATATGTACATGCCTGTGAGTGTATAAAATACATACATGTATATATGTAGAAAGGGACATAAACGCGTGTATATATATATATATATGTATCGCAACTCAGGAGCTGCACAAACGAATGCAACTGCATACCTATGATAAAGCCAGTGCGAGACTCCTAGGCTGAGAAGGTCTTCTGGGGCGTCCAAGACGCGGAATGCGCCGAGCTTGGGAGATGCAAGTGGGGAGTCTGACAGAGGTGCCAGAGACCATGGTAACGATCAGAAGGCAGGATGGCAACGCATAGCAATTTGTGGCTCACCTTCTTGCACATCACGAAAGGACTGCTGTCATGATCGCCGTGGTTATTGCTGCTCTGCAGTCGTTGTCGTTGGGTGGTGAAGGTTTCACTCCGAAGGAGCATTGGGCTCTCAAGGGAACTGAGACCGTACCGTGTCGGCCTGGAACGGTCCGTGCCATGTTAAACTCAGAGTCGAAAGAGGGCTCCTGACGCTGCTGTTGCTGGCGAGGACTGCTTCCTAGGCGATCAGGAAATGACAAACTCACAGAGCTCAGAGTGGAAAGACGAGAAGGAGGCCGACTAACTGGATTTAGGACCAAGGTCGCTCTTCGGGTCCAGCAACTCTGTGACGAGTTTGCACTTGTGGCGGCTGCCCTTGAGAACCTCAGTGGCTCGAACAAGTCCTTCATCCAGAACCGAACTTATTCAGTGAGGATGCTGGACACCTCATGATATTCACACCGCCCAGCGGCAGAGCTGTCTTGAGTGTGCTGCGTAAAAACACGGGTCAGTGCTCCTGCAGGAGATGGACTTGTGATTAAAATGGTCTTTATTGGAGCCTTAACTACCCCACCCACCCGCTCAAGTCGGATGTCCTCCTCCTCCGTTGTTCTGTTCCAGCAGCTGCTGCTTGACCATGATTGCCTGCGCCGCTTTGGCAGATGAGCCCGGTGGCCCAAGCTCAGGCTGCGGTGTCGCCAACTGGTTCACACTGCCTTTTCCAAGAAAGATCCCGAAGCTGTACCCGCCAGCTGCAACGAATCCCGCCGATACTGCAGGAAAACCACGACAATGAAACAAGCGTTTTCTGCTGCCAAGGCTCAGTCGTCAAGTTCCGCGAATCAGCTGCCAGCGGCGACTCTGACTCCTCTTTGTTTGGGCTCTCCGCCCACAGCGCATATACAGATGAAAGTAAGCCAATGGACAACAAGAAAGGCAGGTGATGATCTTCATGGAAAAGGGCTACCAACATGTTCGTGTTTCGTTCCTGGCTGGTCGTCGACCTGGTATCGGTAGCAGTGGCAGTCACGCAGCGTAATACTGCTAAGCAGGTGGGCAGGCAAGCAAGCAAGCAAGAAAAGCAAGCAATTTCAAGTAGCAGCAGCATTAAACTCATGGTTGCAGACAGGCTCAGGCAAGAATAGAAATGCCGTTCGGTGTACTGTCTCTGGGCAACTCGAGATGCCCTCCTTCGATCTTGCAGCTCACTCCAAACCATGCAGCCGTTCAACCCCAAACCACACAAGTCTGAACCTTGCCACCCGAAAGAATTGTGGCTGCATCTTGGAATACCAAAACCAAAACCGTAGAAACCTTTCCGAGCCAGTCCGTCAGTCTCTCCGCGAGGATCAAAGCGCAGCTCGCCGTATCAAGCCTGACTGCGAGCACGACCTATGCCCATTGCCATCAGGTTGAGCAAGTTATGATACATCTATCGACCAACCCATCCGTCGGCAGATGGATCTGCGTATGCTGCCTATGCTTCTTGCAAGCAGGTAGGTACGTGCCTACTTACCTACAAGTACCTACTTGCCTACGTCCTTGTCGGCATTGCAAGGTAGAAACTAAAACGGGATTATGCAAAAGTGGATCCAGCCATACCCATGATGATATTCGCCATGCTGTTTGTAAGGGGAGGTGATCCGTTCAAGTGCGTTTCTCCAAGATTTGCCGGGATGCGGGAGCTTCTGCATCTCCCACTTGCTGGTGCTTTCGCCTTCGTGCCTCGGATTACACGACGAGGCCATGGATTTGGAATTCAGAGCTTCCGTTGCGCTGTCGTTGGCGAGCGGCACTCACACTCGGACTCTCGAGGCATCTGGGCAGTCATTCTTGCATATGTTATACACTAAACTATACTATATCCTGCCATATTATACTATATTAGACAATTATGCCATACTATATTATGCTATATTACATAGATTATCATAGATTGGTAATTACAGAGTTGACGTTTTCGCTCTCACCGGCTCGACGAGGTCTTTTGGTGTGCGGTCGGGGCAATGAAACTAGTCGTGGGGGCACGGCTCCCCGCCTAGGCTTCACCGAACAGCGGCCCTCAGCTTCCCCTACGGTTGGTCTTTGTCAGGGCTCCGAACAGCGCGCTTTAGTAAGCTGACCCGATTCATTCTCCTC